TTCCACAATATCTAGTGTACATTTTAGACCTTATTTGCTCTTTCAGTTTCTCATTCCAGGGAGACAATACGATGTTTACATATATGAGTCTGATTTATTTCACTTATGAGTATATCTTCAAGTGGCACCCACTTCAATATAAAGGCTCCAAGTTTATCATTCTTTATAGCTGAGTAATACTCCATTGTATAAAAATACCACATCTTTTCATCCACTCCTCAGTTGATGGATACTTGGGTTGTTTCCAAGATTTAATTATTATAAATTGTGCTGCTATAAACTTATAGGTGCATACCTATTATAGGTGCATATCTGTTGCTGTTGTATACTTTTAATTCTCCTGGGAAGATACCCAGGAGGGGAATAGCTGGGTTGAATGGGAACTCTAATCCTTGATTTTTGAGGATTCCCTATATTGATTTCCAGAACAGTTGCATCAGTCTGCACTTCCAGTAACAGTAGAGAAAGGTTCCCTTTTCCTCACAGTCCCTACAACACTTATTATTGTTGATTTTTGATAATAGTCCTCCTTTCTGGGGTGAGATGGAATGTCAGTGCTGTTTTAATTTACAGCTCTTAGATGATCAGTGATGTTGAACATTATTTTCATATATTTATTTGCCATTTGTATTTCTTCAACTGACAGATATGCATTCATTTCAGATGCCCATTTTTGGATTGGGTCTTTGAATTTAGGGGCTTTTGAGGTTTTTTTAATTCTTTATGTGTTCTAGATATAAGACCTTTCAGGGAAAATTGGCTTAATTATTTTTTCCCACTGTGGGTTGTCTTTTCACTCTGTTGGTGATTTCTTTTGATATTGGAAAGCTTTCAAAACAAGGTGAGATCCAAGGTGTTGATTCATTGAAGTATTTCTTGTGTAGTCTGGGTTTTATTCATGAACTCTCTACCTACGCCTGTGTCTTCAAGATTTCTACCTACTTTCTTTGCCAGTAGATTTAGTGTTTCTCTTTTAATATTTAGATCTCTAACCCCATTTTGACTTTAGTTTAGTGCATGGTGATAGACGTAGGTCTAGTTTTAGTCTTTGGCATGTAGAAAACAAGTCGTACTAGCATCATTTATTAGTAGTATCATTTATTAAAGAGGCTGTCCTTCTTCCAGTGAATATTTGGCCTCTTTGTTAAAGATAAGTTGGCTGAGTGTGTTTGTAGTTGTGTCTGCATCTCCTAATCCGTTCCATTGGTCCCCAGCTCTGCTTTTATTTATTTATTTATTTATTTCCCAGTACCATGCTGATTTTATGCCAGTGGTTTTAGTATAGCTTCAAGTCAGGGATTGTGATGCCCCCTACCTTGCCTTTGTTGCCCAGATTGACTTTGCTATTGTAAGTCTCTTCTGTTTCCAAATGAATTTTGTGAATGTTTTCTCTAGTTCTGTGAGACATACCGATGATATTATGATCAAGCTAACATTAAATATGTGCCTTTATTTGATCTTCAGTTTTTGAATTTTATTTGCATGGCTGTAGAATTCTAAATTCGTGAGTGTGTTCTTTAGCTTGGTGCAGCACTTTATATTATTTCGTTGTTTTCTAACCTCCAGATTGTAGTATGAAAAGCCAGGTCTCATTTTTTACCAGTATTCTCCGAAAAAGATTGTTTTATTTTCTCCTTAATTTTTAAGATTTTTCAATATCTTTTGTTACTTAAGAGTTCTTTATGGTTGTAGTATATCTTTACGGTGTTACTGTAGGGAAATTACCCCCAACAGTGTTTTAAGATAATATACTTCTGTTATTTTATAGTTAGGGGGTCCAGAAGTCTGGAACAGAAAGTTAGTGCTGTGCTACTTCTGGAGATTACACAGGAGGATCCATGTCCTGCTCTCATCCAGATTCTGGGCATTGGCTTCATTTTTTGGCATGTGGCCTGTGTCACTCTAAGCTCATAGCTTCTTCCACTTCTCTCTTTTACCTCATTCTTTCCCTCTCACGTACATTTGTGGGCCTGCTTGGATTTCGCACAATTTTCCTAGCTCCCCATCCTCACTTTGTTCAAAACAGAAATAGCCCTTTGCCTCCAGAGGCCTTCTAGCTTCTTGGAACTAGAACCTTGGCATCTTTCTGAGAGTTGGGCTGGTGACCCCTTTTCTAGCCACCATTGTGGTTCTCCTCGTACTTATCATATTTGAAATTTCTTTGTATTGGCCCAGAAGTTTCATTTTGAAACTTCATTTAGAAATGTTTTTCTCCATGTATTCTCTGCTCTCTTCTCCTTTTCTTATTCAGTTATATCATTTTAGATTGCATATTGTCATCCCACTGGCCCCTAGATAAAATGAGGTGTCTCTGGCTCTGCTCTTCAGATCAATAATTTCTGTGCGTCTGGTTCTGTCTCAAGGGCCTTCCCCTGCAGTGTCCAGTTTGCTGTGAGGCCCATCTTCTGATAATCTCATCTCCTCTTCATGATGGACTACATTCTTATCTTTGAATGTCCAGTCCTATTGATTATGTGCTAGGTGGATGATTCACTGAGTGCAGTCAACATAAATATTTTATTTTCACCCAGGATGTGCTATTTTAGCATCATGTTTTATTCAGGTCTCTGCTTCTTCCTTTGGGGGGAAAAAGAAGAAATCTTGATACGACAAATACTAATAGGCAAGTGTTTAAAAATTATCACTAGGATATGTATTCCCAGATTTTAACATTGTGACCCCTTGCTCCAAGATATGTTCTTGATGCTGTCACTACTCTAAGTCTTTCACAATAGTGTAGGCTTTGGAGGAATGCTTGTTTAACTAGTGTTAAAGTGTGGAAATCCATTTTTTCCCCCCTGAATGAAACAGGTTAATGGGCTCACTACTCAGCAGACTTCTTTCATGACTTTTTGTTTTGTTCTTGTTGTCTGCCATTAACCCTTGTTGGTAATGCTTAAAATCTTCCTCTTTGAACACGTGAAAGAGATATATGTATACAATAACCCCAGTGAGAAGAGGTTGATCTTTTAAAGTTTCTACCACCTTCCCTTCACGTCAAACCTGGGGACTTGGTCTTTTACATGTGATCCTTTGGGGAACATCAGAATCCAAACTGCAGCATATGGGGAGAAACACTTACTCTTTCCTCTCTTCCAATTTGCTATTTGTTTAATTGGGAAAAATAGAAAAAAATATGGATGCAATATATGCATTTATATATCTTTTCCTCCCATTGTGCGGAATTATGACCAAAGTGATAATACTGAGTGAGCTTGATTAAGAATATCTAAGGAGAACAGTGGACTCTGAGCAGGTGCCAGGCACTGTTCTGGATGTGTTGTATATATCAATTTATTAAACTCTTCCAGTCGCTGTCTGAGATAGTTATTACTATCATCTTCATTTTATACAATAGATGCACTTACTTCAGGGACTGTTATAGTCTTCTGAAGTCATGTTATTTGAAAGACAGTATCTAAAATTTCCATAAGAGAAACACATGTTAAGTTAAATAAATCATTTAATATCGATTCTTAATAAATCAAAGTATTATTACTGATAAACAGTTCATTCTAGAAAATTAGGATAATGGTGTGGCTCTTAGAACTGGTACCTTAGAGGATGTTGAGCCTTGATCAATTAAAGGGTAGAAAATAAATATTGCTAATAAGTACTTTTGAAATTGCAAATACTCTAAAGTTGTCCCCAGAATGTTTTTTCGCTCTTGTTCTGGCTATCCTATGCATCTTTGCTCTGAAAGACTAATCACAATAGTTCCTTTGTGCTTCTGTAATAATCTTGGGTTGATTCTCCAACACTATGGGTCTGTCACTGACAGTTATTTAGCTCCAGCTGTTTGTAGAACATGCGAACATTTTTTAAAAACTTATTTATTTATTTGGTACAGGGTCTCGATATGCACCTCAAACTCATAGTGATCCTCCTGTCTCAGCCTCCCCAGCACTGGGATTACAGGTGTGCACCACCATGCCATATTTCCATGGCCAGCATGGCATGACTGGGTTCTGGAGCTGGCAGGGCATGAGGTACCAGGGATTGAACCCAGGTCATTGCACTTGCCAGGCAGGTGCTTAACCCACTGAGCTATCTCCTCAACCCAATGTGCCTAATTTGAAAGTCTGAAGTGTGAAATGTTTCCAAATCCACAACAATTTGAGGAACCAAAATTTCAGACTTGACCTCCTGTGATTGATTACAGTCAAAATACAGGTACACTCAAAATGTCATCAACAGGCAGGCTATATTGACAAGGTGTATACACTACAAAATATAAATAAATTCTATTATAGACATAAGTCCCATTCCCAAGATATCTCATTACATATGTGTAAATATTCTAAAGTCAATTTTTTTGATATCAAACACATTTCTAGGCCTAAATATTTTGGACAAGAGATACTCAACCTGTGTATGCTATTGTTTTACTTTTGAGAGTGAGGAGATGGCTACTTATACTCTAATGAATGTGCATACCTTCTGATACCGAGGAGTTCCCAGTCCTGTTAAATTCAAGGAAATAAGTTCCTAACTGGCAGGTTTTGCATTTTTATCTGTCATTCGGTCTACTCAAGATAGGGAGAAATGAACAGAATGGTGTTTGCACTAATGGGTGACCCACACATTGAAAGGAAATGGAAACAAGAGTTATGTTGGAAAGGGTTGAGGTGGTAGCAGTTCAGATCCATAGAGTAGCTGAAATTAACAGTTCAGCGTAACTCACTGAATAGTAGGGAATGAGGTGCCAGGTCAAAGGGATTTTAGGAACCACTCACTGCATTCCCTGTCCTTTCATGGTTTCCTACTAACTGAAAAAATGTGCAAACCATACTCTTCATGTTTCAATTATTTTTTTGTCTTCTTTTTGTCCCTTTGCTTTGCCTTTCTCTTTACATTTAAAGTCAAATTTCCACCTAGCAAATAAATGCAGAAATAGTTTAACGTATCAACTAAAGCCAAAGATCTGGCTGCCAAAATAGTGGAAATTGACTTCTTAAATCTGAGTTAACAAGGTTGATTTTTCTCCCCTATTCATAAAGAATAGACATGGTAAGAAGCTGACAACACATTTTCCTTTTAAGACCACATTGTTTAGATTTTGTGCTAGTTGGTATTTAGCAACATTTGAAATTTGACTTCATTATGAACTGATTGAAACATAGTAATCAGGTATATTCTAGAACTACATGTACCCGAAACTAATGTCACGGAAGTGCTACTCATTTGTCCATACCTAAGAATACATGGATCCACCAAAATATGTGTGCAAGAAAGTTTATATGATGAATAGCCCTAAACCAGAAACAAGCATTAATCTATTGATGAAGAATGTATAAATATAGTATGCTATATATTGGGGAATTGTAATGATGAGCAGAAGATGTCAAATGCAAGAGTACTTACATATGCTTTCTTTTACATAAAGTTGAAGTTCAGGTCAAATTTATCTATGGTGATAGAAGTTAGTAATAGTTATCCTTTAGTTATTGGAAGGACTGGGGCTAGTTGCGCAGGGGCAGTGGGAGCATCATAGTTGTTATAAAATTTTTAAAGTTTGATCAATGCCAAGGTTCCCTTGTACATGTAAAATATTCACTAGGCCAAGTCATCGAATGTGTGTATGTATATTATGCATGAAAAATGATGCATTTTATAAAAAGAGAAATGATATTTAGTATACTACTTTTCAAAGTCAGAGAAAAACATAAATTTATTGCTTCTAGAAGTGCTTCTTATATTGACTTCAATCTCCATTCTGTGACTCCCACAGTGAACTAAACTTTTACGATATTTAATTTTAATCCTTTAAGCTACTTTACTTTCCAGAATGGTTTCAATTGAGTAATCAATATTAGTTTTTATTTCATTTACTTTGTACAGCTTAGAAATAGCTTGAGGAAGTTTTAGGCGAAAAGGGTAACAGCACTTAAACTTGAAAATTCATTAAGGATGAACTGCTTACTAAAGAATTTAAAAAAAAATTAATTAATAGTTTAGAAACTGGTGAACCATGTGCATTATCCTCTTTGTCATCTTTTATGATACTCTGATTATTTACTGGGAATAGAGAACACAGAGGAAAATTTTCGTGTTAAATTAGCATAATTCAGTTTAGATTTAAAATACATAAAACAAAAAAATATCTGTGGGGATTCATGACAAAGCTCATCAGAAGTGTTAAATGGTCAGCTGACTTGTAATAATTGTTTAAATTAGCATAATTCATGTTAAATTAGCATAATTCAATTTAGATTTAAAATGCATAAAACAAAAAAAATATCTGTGGGGATTTATGACAAAGCTCATCAGAAGTGTTAAATGGTCAGCTGACTTGTAATAATTGTTTACCCAGGTTTCTTTTTATACTAGTGGCCAGTGAATTTCACTGTATTTCCCATGGGTCCTTTGGCTGTGTAGCATCCTGAAGTTGCTCTAACAACCTCATCTTGCCTTAACAGGCTGCCCTGCAAGTCGGGGGCCACGGAGAACGGCTCCACCAGTGTCGGGAGGTCATGCTTCTGACCTACAAATCCATCCCCATGCAAGTGGACGGAGAGCCATGTAGGTTGGCCCCGGCAATGATTCGGATCTCCTTGAGAAATCAGGCCAACATGGTACAGAAGAGCAAGAGGAGAACGTCCATGCCTTTACTCAATGAGTGAGTGAGCTCCTCACCTACCTGGGATGACGCAAGACCTTGCGGCGCAAATTGCAGAGCATGTGCTTGGTCTGGGGAACCTCACTGTGTGGGGAAGGGGGGACGAGTCCAACAAACTCCACAGTTCCTTGGTCTCTCCCATGCCGGCAGGTATCTTTTTCCTTCTGTTTCTTAGGCAGTCACTTGACCCTTCTTTCAGAAACCATTGCTGTTATGTGAGGTGGATGACTCTTCCCTGACCACTTGGTCTGTGCAGATGCAGAGTAGCAGAACACAGTAGCGCAGTGATCCTAGGGTCACATGACGATGTGCGGAGCATGCCCTGTGATGGCTTAGTTTGGGGGGCATGTCGTTAGCCTGCTCTCTACTCGGGTCCCTTGGAAAGCATTGGTCTCTTGGGTAGCAGGGGCCTAGGCCAGTTGCCTATTAGCAAGTGGCCCTTCCTATTGTTTCTCGTTTGGGGTCCTGTGTGCTCTGCTGCATGGAATCAGATTTGCCTTTGTGGGTAGCATCCAGTTGCGCAGACCTGACCTGATTAGCTATTTCTAAGTACCTAGTTTCTCTCTGGGAATCTTCCCTGTGTTAAGTACTTTTGTTTTTGTTTTTGGTACTGGGAATCAAACTCAGGGTCTTGCATTTGCAAGGCAGGCACTTATGCCACTGAGCTATCTCTCCAGCCCTGTGTTAGGTGTTTTGATGACCCAATTTAAGGTAAGGCAGTAATGCCTGGGTGAATTAAAATGCCGATTCATTGTACCATGACTCTTCCTACTGTGGGTGTTTGAGTTGTTAGTTTGGGTTGGAGATATGGGTGGACAAAGGAGGGGCTTGGGGTGTCCTTTGAGTGTCTTCTGTATATATTGCAGTATGGCAAAGGCCTTTTCAGAGCTTAACTTTGGGTTGTCCTCTGCTACACAGAGAGGCCCTCAAAGGATGTGGCCCGGGATGTACAGTCACTGAATGGCTGGCTTCCTCTTGGTGCCTAAGAAGCAGGGCCACTTCGCCACATGTTCACGGAGCCAACATCATGGTCTCCAGAAATTCCCTAGAATGACCAGTGTCATAGGCACGCCGGCCCCTGCCACCTCCCTCAGAGGTGGCAGATGTGAAGGAACAGCAGCGGACAGTGCCCACCATGTATTTCAGCATCTGCTTCTGAGTCTTAGGCTGGGATGAGAGATCTTTTCCCTTCTCCCCCTGGAATGCTGCCCATGATGTTTTCCAGAACCGCTGTTGAGTTGTATTTCTTGCTTTATTTGTGTTTTACAGGCAGTGAAACTCCTGGCTCATTTATGATGCTTTTCTTCCTCTTTGCCTTGTCCCTCTTTTAGGCAGAGTATATAATTGCTGAGTTTATCCGTTAAGAAAGCTGGCGTGGCGGCAGTTGCCCGTGGCTTACCAGAGTTCCTCTAGGAATTTCACACTTAAGCCAGAAACCACTGCTTGGCAGAAATATGTTTGGTACGTGGTCCGCTAAGAAGCTGTGATCAAGCTAGAAGTATTTTAGATTTATAAAGAGAAACGAACTCATGGTCTCATACCTACTGACTCCTAATAACCATCTCAGACGGGAATTGCTTTACAAACAACTCTAACTCTCGGATTAAGAGAGAATTTGTACTTGCTCCGTAACAATACTGAATTGGGGCTTTCTTCACCTAAAAAGATAAACAGACCTTATCCAGGTTTGGTGGTGCATGCTTGTGATCCCGGCAGTATTCGAGTGAGGCAGGAGGATCACAAATCTAAGTGCAGTTTGGGCAACTTAGCAAGAGCCTTACAAGATACAAATTAAACGGCTGTGGATTTAGCTCGTATGAGGGGCTTGGAGTCCATCCTTAGTGCCCCCCAAAATACACATAAATTATTTTCTTCTGCCACACATAATATAATGAGGTTCAAGCTGGACCCTCAACTTAAAAACAGAAAAGCAGATACTTCCCACCAGGGGGCAGGGGTGTCCCCATCAAAGCAGCCAGAGACCATAAAAAAGATCAAAGTGAAATAAGATAATAGCATTCATTAACAGCAACAACAAATATATATTTAAAATTTATTTAATGAGCATATAGGAAAAATGATTATTCAACACAATACCTTAAGAAAATCAATCCAGATAACTCATTTTTCAAAGAAAGCAAAAACCTATTTTCCTTGTAACGCTTGCTCACTAAACCTTGGTTTCTACCACCTTAATCTTCTTCACCTTCTGCGATCTTACTGTTTTCATCTCAAGAGAAACCCTTGTTTCGGAATCTAACTTTGCCCACTGGCTTTAGTCGCAGAGTTCACTGCCTAGCCCACGGCTTGCTGCTGCCCATTATACCGGCTGGGTTTTTCAGTAAAGCAGGAATAATGGTTTTTATGAAAGTGGAAATCCTATTTTTCTTAGCTTCACAGACTGTTTCATTTCTACCTCCCTCCTCCTTCTCTCCCTGTGCCCCAGAATGAGTTTTGTCCCTAGAGCAGTGGCCTGTCCCCTTGTCAGAGCACTTCACCCGGTTGTTCCTTTTGCAGAGAACTCTCCTTTACAGCTCTCTGTGTCTGTCTCTCTCTGTCTCTGCCTCTCTGTCTTTGTCTCTCACTCTGTCTCTCTGGCTCTGGCTCTGTCCTTCTCTCTGTTTCTGCCTCTCTGTCTCTCTTTGCCTCTGTCTGTCTCTATATTTATCTCTCTGTGTCTCTGTTTGTCTCTGTCTTTGTCTCTCTGTAGCTCTCTCTGTCTTTATCTCTTTGTCTCTGTCTCTGTCTCTTTTTCTGTCTCTATCTTTATCTCTCTTTGTCTCTCTGTCTGTCTCTATCTTTATCTCTCTCTGTCTCTGGTTGTTTCTGTCTTTGTCTCTCTCTGTCTCTGTCTCTGTCTTTATCTCTCTGTCTCTGTATCTGTCTGTCTGTCTTTATCTCTCTCTGTCTCTGGTTGTTTCTCTTTGTCTCTTTCTGTCTCTGTCTCTATCTCTCTCTGTGTCTCTGTCTCTGCCCTCCTCTCTCTCTGTTCAGAACTCCCCTGGAGCATCACCATCCCTGAGTGCCCTCACTGTGCACTTCCGCTGTTAGACGCCCTTCCTGGTGCTCCTCGTAGGTTCTCTCACCCACTTCCAACGCATCCTTACTAAACAGTGCGATCTTTGGCTGACTCATCTGTGTTCTTTTGGGAGGACCAAGGGTTCCCACCGTAGGGCTCCCTCCCAGTGCCTGGCCTCACTTCTGTGACATGGTTACCTATTGAGTTAGTGGGTCACACTGAAGAGGCTGTTCTGCTACATTTCTCAGAAATCATTACTAAGAGAATAGAAACCTAAAATATCACAAATATAAGAAATATACTACAGAATGCTTTCTGTCCGTTTTATTACAGGTCAAAGGCAAATGTTGAATAATTTCACAATATAGTTTGTGTAGAAGCTGAAAGGAATTCCCCTGAGAAATAGGGAAGTAGTGGTCTTCATGATACCACCAGATCTTTGTTTTTTTTTTAAAAAAAAAAATTAACAAAAAAAATTCCTGAACTCAAAGAAAAACAATGCCTAACAAGGCAAGCCAAACAAAAACAAGAGCTCTGCACCACCCGCCACTGGTTACAGGAGTGTGTTCCATTTATCAGAGTAGGAATCCGCATAGAGTGCCTGCAGTCCTACAGCACCATCCTCCCCTCAAACAGCAGAGGAGCATTTGCTACATTCACACTCATATTTTAGTGACACGGTAGCCGGATCCATTTGCTTATGTTCTGTATCTGTGAGGTGCCATTGAAGGGTCTCAGAAGCTGAAAACAAACTGGCGTACTATACAGGGAGGTCTGCAGCTGTTACCATTAAAATCACTAGTAGTTAAGGCTAAGTTATGAAGGACAATCGTTTTATCCAAATACAGGTGGTGAGTTAGCAAACCCTCCAATTGGGCAACTGGGTTCCATCATCCCGGGATGTGATATATTACTGATTGGAATGCAGCGCTTCACGGACACCACAGAGAGCTAGAGTTACCTCAGGGTAACCTTCTAGGAGAAGCAGTGTGCTCTTCTCTTCACGCAGATCTCGGAGCTGGGCCTCTTGTGGTTACAGTAAAAAATATTTAAATAGAAAGCAGAGAATGAAAATGTAGAAGGAACGTTTGTGGTTTACTTTCATAAATTTTACACTTTGTCTTTTCCAATAGCCACTGTAGACTCTCCCTTTTACAAAAGAAAAGAGAAAGGCTGTGAGAAGTGGGTCTACAGTTTCAGGTTTGTGTCCAGGTGTGGGTGGAACCAGAGCACCGCAGTGATGGAGTTAGGCTTCATGGTAACACGTCCGTCCAGAGCTCTGCAAAAGCCTGCTCTGTTTAAATGAAGAACACTGAAGGTCTCTCTGAGGCGGTCTTTCAGATGCTAGAGTTCTCACAGACCTGGGGAATCATGAGGGCTCAGGACAGCACTGCTCTAATTGATGTCCTCAAGGGGAATTGGCCAGCCCGCTGGCCCTGACTGATGTGGGTACGCTCCTGCTCCCCATGGCGTATCAGTTGACCTGTAGAAGGGGTGTCTGGTCACCTCTCTGTGCCCACAGCCTGCCCTCCTGTGCTGGCCTTGCACTGTAGTCTGTGGCTTGCCTGGAACCAGCCCCTTTCATGTGTCCTGTCAGCTCCATCGCTACTGTACCACCGGCTTTTCTGGATTATTTCCGTGGCTGGCTTGATTTTCCTTTTTCTTTGGTTCACTGTTGGTGACACGCTCATTTAATTTCTGTTTAAACTTTGTGTGTCTCTCTTTCTCTCCCCGGCCTGGTCCTTGTCTGTCTACGCTGTCCTGCTGCCTCTGTCTTCGCTGCTCATTTCCCTGCTGCCTCTAGCATCCACCAGGTGCAAGCTGCGGACCTGCGGCGAGTGTCTGCTCCCCCCGGCTCCTTCACCATGTGAGTACAGTGCCGTTCCATTTTTACATTTTGTCCCCACCTCTTCTCCTCAGGGTTAGATACCCATGGCGTCCTTCTCCTACACAGCTCTGCTGCTCAGATAAGAAGCCCTCC